TATACATTATTCAAGATTTGAAACAAAACCCAAGTGGAAATCTTGTTCAATTAAATGTAAAAAGAAAATATTCTCATCTATAATACAGCTGAAACTAGGACATGGCTATTTCAAATCTTATATACAAAGATTTGATGATAGATTTGACTCAATAGAATGCTCATTTTGCAATACAAATGAGAATCCCGAGTATATTATAATGCACTGTGCATTATACAATAGTCTCAGAGCCAGATTGAAAGAGAAGTATGATCTAAATCAATTAAATATGAGATTCTTATTCTCAACTGAGACAGAAATTAAATACTTAATAGACTTTCTATCAGAAACTCAAGCAGCTACAAGAAAATGACTAAATTCAGAATTATCTGAATATGAAGAGGAGAAAATCAATCAGATATAGTCTGTTAAAACAGCTATACACTCTCTTTTAATAATTTGTTTTATTACAGTCTTTCTTTATTTTATCTTTTTCTTTAAATTTCTTTCTGTCTATCTATTGAATGTGTCTATCTTTAAGACTGTGTTCTCTTTTCTTTTGTCATGATATTGTCAAATGGTTTCAAAGTATCAAAAGATGTTAAAACACTGCAATTTGTAAACAGTTTTTGTATTCTGAGCTGAAATTTTCTGATTTTGCATATCTGAAATTGATGAATGTACAATAGTTAACTTTACAGACATAGAAAAAACTCTGAGAACTAAAGTTCTCAGGTAGATGTCATAGTCTCTGACTGCATACATCTATAATTGAAGAATAATAATAATAATAATTAAATACTTCATAACTATCTATAAACTTACTGAATAACAGATGCAATGATCTGAGTTTCTAAGTCACTTTCATTTTACAATACACTACTGTTCTAGCAGCTAGAACTTGATGACAGATGCTCTCTTACAATGAGAGCAAGATATGCTATCTGATGTAATAGATACTCACTGAATAAACTGAGAGTATTGACTCTTGAACTCAAAGATATTAATTGATCAAGATAGAATGACTCACAGTATTATATATACTTCTCTGATTAGAACTGATATTAATATCTTCACTTCTTCTACACTGAATGAACTATGATATACAGCAGCTCAGACTGATGAACTTCTTTAGATTCTCACTGAAGTAATATATCAAGAAGCACTCTGATTTCCCTCAGAATTATGTATCAGAACTGATATTTCAGAATACTCAATTAATAATAATAATACTCTATGATTCTGTGAACAACACTGAGTCTCTCACTCTGAACTCTTATACACTCAGATAATGCAAGAGATGTATGATTTGTATATAACTGATCATTCAGACTGTGAATAACTGTATAGAATAATCTTCTGAGAATTCTACTGATCTGAGATATCAAACAGTATCAGATACTTTGTCTGAAACTGCAATCACTGTTCTTCTATTATCTTATGAAAGAACTGTAGAAAAGATCTACTGAAATCACTCAATATCTCTAATAGAATCTGATGAGATATAGTAATTGACTTTACTATTAATCTATTTGAAAGTAAGAGCTGCAGGAATATTCTGATCATTATTAACTGACTAAGTAAGAATGTAATATTGAAACCTTATAATAAGATAAATATTAAACAAGTCACTGAAGTCTTCTTACAGAGTTCATTCTATTAAATGTATGAATTGCTGAGATTGATAATATTGAATCAGAGCTGTTAATTTATGAGCACTCTCTGAACAAGAATCTATCAAGTTCTTAAGATTATATACTGTCTGTTAACTATCTACTACTCTGAGACTGATAATATATCAGAACAGATAATTCAGACTGTAAAGAATTATCTTTGTAAGTTCTGCAATCACTTATAAGATAATTAACATGATCTTCTTCTACACACAGAGATCATTATTAACAGTTGAGATACTGTTTCAACAGATATAAGTCTGTTCTTTCTTACACATGAGTATCACATAAAAGTGTTGAATCTTCTAGAGATTACACAGTTCACACTGAATCTTCACAGTCTGATTCAGATTACTGATAATATAGTAATAAAACTCTGAGATGTCTATGACTGAGCAGAGGTCTTTATAATAACTGTGAAACAAGATTAAGAAGATTAAACTAATATCTGACAAGATTCTGCAGAGTAGTATAAGATAGAAGACCTTGTATAATTGAATCTCAAGAATATACAAATCACATGTTCATCTCATACACTAGACTATCATCATATCAGGTATAAAGTGATAGAAGTTCTAGATAGTCACAACTATCATCTTAATACATTATCAGAAATTTATAATGTATTTTATACAAGCTTGCTCTGCTGCACTATCACTGATCTGTTCTCTTCTCAGCTGACTTCTGACTGACAGCTGTCAGACATTATAGAAGAAGACAATGAGCTTGAGTGAGAGATTAAAGATATTCTCAATGAGAGATTTCACAGTCATAGCTGATAATATCTGATGAAATGAGTCAGCTATAATCAACTGACCTGAACTCTGAGTTTCATGTTATCTGAAACAGTGGCTCTTGACTGATAGAAACTGCTTCTGAAAAGAGAGAACTAATGTGATGAGCTGCGCCTGATCAATCATATAGACTATTTCATTACACTTCATAGGTTCTTTCATTCCTGATCATCAATTCATGGTTACTACAAACACACATAGTATATGCTCTGATTCTTGACCATTTCTGATCGCCAATCCACGGCTGCTATGAACATGCATAGTGTATGCTCTGATTCTCAGTCATTTCTGATCACTGATCCTCAGCTGCTACAAACATGTGTATATTCTTCCACTTCAAAGCTCCACCACATACACCATCACACATGCGTATAAATATTCACCTTGATTGCTGATTCTCACACTTTCTCTTTCTTTCCTTCTCTAACATTTTTATCTTTGTTATATAAGACCTATCAATATTATACCGATCTATTCAGCGTAGGCCTCTTACATTCATAATAGATGTAGATGTGTAGAGGCTGTGACAGTGATAAAGTAGTTGAAGAACTCATGTCAAAGTGTGTAGCAGGTTCAGAAATCTCAGATTTCTGCTAAGATAGAGATGTATACACTCTAGAGAATAATGTGAAGTTTTTATCAGAGAGTAAGATTAGGTCAGTCTTAGCATAGATATATAAGACTATATTAGTTTATTAATAGAGCTTGACTGATATAAACTTGTAATCAGATTAAGTAATTTAAATTATAATATAACAGAATCAAAGTAATGACTAGTTAACAGTATCATGTAAAGATAGTTATTTAAGAAGTTATATAAGTGAGCTTAACTATCTTACTTAAATAGTGAGCTCATGAGCTACAGAGTTATTATAAGAATATCACAGATATAATACTTAATATACTAAGAAGATTATATAAGAAATATAGTAACTCTTATATATATTTTAGTAGAAGAAAAACACATCACTGACTTCTTTAATAAGAAGTTAGTATCTAGTTATTCTATATAAATAATGAGCTAATACTGTTCTCTCATTTCATGAGTAAGAATAATCAGAGTGATATCTCAGTGATATCTTACTATTAAGAAAGAGTAATCTGCTGATTTTGTATAGAAGTGAGATTCTCTTATTTATTAATCAGATTTTTCTATGATATATTTGAATAATATTATAGAGTGATTAAAAACCAGTTTAAACAGCCTGTAGAATAAATGAAATCATCTGTATAAAAGTAATAAGCTATGTGAAACCGCAGCAGAGTCTTGACTAGACTGACTGTGTAATTATATCTGAGATCAGAACCAGATTTTTTAGTAGTCTTATTATCAATTTAATCAATTCTATTACACAGTTTTAACATTAAATAGTAGTCTTATACTGTCTCAGTGAGACTTACTGTCTACTCTTATTATATTTTTCAAATAAGATTATGATTTTCACTTCTCAATTTAAATTATTTTTATTACTTTAAATAACTTTAAATCTTATTTAAGTGTTATTAAAAAGCATTACTTTTTAAAAAATTAAAAATAGTTTAAAAAAAATCTTAAAATGTCTAAAAATATTAACTTTATATGAAGAATGAGACTAAATGAAATTAAATAAGATTACTTTCTTATTTTTTTCAAGTCATGATTTTATTTTAAGATCTTATATATAGTTACTTTACATGTTTTTTTAATAACTAGTCTCAGTGAGATTCATGCTAAGAAATGTATAAGATCAGATTAAATGAAATCAAACATGAAATTCATAGTCTCAGCAGTCAGTCTAGTTCTAACATGATCAGAGATATGACACTTCTGATTTAGTAAATATTAAATTTATTTTTCAGAATGAAGAATTTGAATTGAATCATTTATAAATATATACTGATAAGAAAATAGTTGCTTGATATAAATATTAACAAGATAGATATATTTTAAAATATAAAAAATAAATTAAAAAAAGTTTATTGTAACAGATAAGATTGCAGAAAATTTAAATTATTTTTATTTACTATTTATTTGTAATAATAATAGTAGATTTCATACTACTTTCACTTTTAAATCTGTATTATAGTTATATGAATTGAAATCTGAATCTTTCTAGTTATTATAATACTATTGCATATAAGCTGATTTGAAATATTCTTTATATCATCTTCTCTCATGAAGTTCTCAACTACATGATATAAAAAAGCTTCAAAATCTTCATTAAATTAAGTATCTAATTAATTCTTCAATTCTGACAAGATATCTGATGTGATCTTTGACTTTATATCACATGTTGAACAGAGTGTTTCACAGCAGCAAAGATTTCATTGAATTCAATATACAGTGGCCAGGTGGCAATCAATACTCCGCACGATCTCAGCAGGCATATACAATCTCATGAATAATGAAATCACTGAGTTGAGATAGCATATTGATGATAAAGGTAAGAAGGATGTGTATTTGGATGATATTTGATTGAAAAAGACATGTATTGTCTAATCGAATGATTCTAGAGAAATGTAGATATTTTGAATTTTTTTGTGGTGTTTTGCTACTAATTTTCAGGGTGCTGGGAAAATTCTGTTTTCGCAAGCAATAGTTACGTCCGCCACAATAGCTCCGCCACAGATTCCGTTCGTTTATGATATAAGCCTAACTCCCCGCGCGGCCAGAGGAGCCCGCCGGGGGCTTGGATACCCACCAGGCGAACGAACCCCGTTGCAGGCGACTAATTCTCTCTAACCAAGCCCTATCCTTGACATGCGACATGCCTAAGCTGGTCTTGGTCGCGCCGATTAGCCTACTGCAGAAACTACTGGTGGATCTGATCTTGACTGTGACGAGCTTCGCCAAACTGCTGGGCTACCCTGGCGCCTGATGATGTTGACTGGAAGCGGACGAAGAACTACTCACTTTTGTTTGTTTGAGATAGAGGAGATATGAATGGGTAAGCCCCGTGCCGCATTTTCAATGCACAATGATGAGGAATATAGCTCTAGCTCACCTCTCGACGGGTACTAGCAATATTTGGCTGATCTGCTCCTTTGACAGATTTCCATGAACGCAAGACAACGAGGCGTGACGGCTTGTCACTTCCGGGTTTGATATTTCTCAAAAAAGAGAGAGAGAGAAAGAGAGAGAGAGAGAGCTCTTGCCACTTCACCAAAGATCTATCCAGCACTGCCACCCCCCCAGCCTGGTGGGAATTGATTGATTGCCCAGTTTGCTGACAGGTTTCATGAACTAAAGGGCTTTAATGCAAGAGTTTATGCATCCATTTCCAGATGTGGACCTTCTAAGAAGACCTTTGTACTCCTCCAAAGATCCTGGACTGCAATTGCTCTTGAACTTGTGTCATTTGTCGCATTACCAATTGGGCCTACATCTCTTTTATCGCTGGCGATAGCAGGCAGGCCAAACAGGAGACAAAACAACGGTCTGGCCGAAAAATGATTCTGGTATCCACACCAGCCGGTCCATGATGGAGCCAACGAATCATCGCCCAAGGAAAAGCTTAGGGGCGAAGTACAGATGTTGCGGGGAAACTTAGAGCGGGTGTTTTCTGGCCATAGAGCTAAAAGCTGGGGTTACGAGCAAGATCTTGCGCCTATCGTCATATTGTCGATCCCAAGACTGCGTCTGCCGCATCAAAGTGTAGAACGCAACTCAGTGACATTGGCAACGTTGCGGGGGGCATCGTCGTCTAGACGTACGATATTTCTTTTTATGGAATCAAAACTTCTACAGAGGGTGGGGAGGGAAGAAAGCTCACTTGCGCTATCTCTTCATTGACATGCCTGTTTTTGCCGCCTTTCCTGGTTCATGACATGGTGCGTCCGAAGGGTAGTTATAATATAAAGAGAGCTGTCGATTCCTGCTTTCGAGACGACATATATTCTGTCTTGAACCAGTTAAAACAAAACCTGCCAAACAAACCATTGAGAGCCCATATCGACAGGATCAAGGACTCTGCAGTCGTTGCGGGGTGTAATTGGGTTTGTAAGTCGGATTAAGTAGAGAGAGCCATGGAAGCCACATTTTTGACCAATCATCTACAGTAACTATAGGATGTGGAACCGCCTGTAGTTACAGCATGCATTAAATCGCTAGCCCGCTACAATGTTATAAGCGCTCTAGCTGCCGCCAATGGCGGACCTCAGTATGTTTTTTTTCTTTTTTTTCTTTTTTTTTTTTTCGTCTTTCGTTTATTTTCCTTCCCCTGACAGATTTCAGCGTCCCGCATTTTTGTGGACATGAGGATCGTAGAGCTAAAAAATCTTTTTGCGCGACAATAGATATCCCATTATTGGACCTTGCCTGTCTTGCTACCGTTAAATTTAATACTGTAAGAATTGAGCCATCCTGGAGTATTTTCATTTCATCATAAATGCAGGAAACTTATATGAGATTTAACAATAGCCTGCTTGCAAGCGGTGCCCATAAGCAAATGGATACGACGGAGTGGTTGTTAGGGAGTGAAGGGGACAGGAGGAGAGGGCGGGGGAGGCTACCAAGTGAAATGCATTAAACATCCAGGGAAGGGAAACGGAGGTATCTGGGCTTTTGTAGGACAGAAAACAGTGAATAACTAATGTAATGCAATTCAATTTCATCCATGATGAAAGTAGAGGATGTTGAAGAGCTGTGTGAGGAATTTGGATGATCGTAAAGTACTTCCCTAGCCGCGGAACTTGGAGCTTCATGGGTATAATAAAACATATCGGAATATCCTGTCTATTTGTATATATTGTATAAATATGTTGGCAAGTTGTTCAATAGAATACTGAGGTATAGAGGTGGGAAGAAAAGTAAGAACGACTACCTTTTGACGCAAATGCACCTAATCCTGCCGTCCATGTATGTATGGCATGGTCCCAATAAACGCCCCCAAATTATATATCACCCAAAATGGAATTCAATTCATACCCCCCTCTACTACTCCCCTCCCTATTCAATCTAGCCCTCCAGCCAAATACTCTCCAACCTCAACCCCAATCTCCCTCGCCATGTCCGCAATCCACTCGCTCGGGCCCGTAGAGTTAGAACTAACCGCCACGCTCGCATTAAGACACCACTTCTCTGCGCCGTCTACGCCCGCTGCCGACGAGGCAGGTACAAGGAGGCGTAACCGCTGCAGCGTGGCTAGCTCTGGATATATCGTGTCAGCGATGGGTTTGCTCGCAGTCGGTGCGGCGGGTGGGTTTGGGTCGATGGCGCGGTAGATGGCGAGGAGGCGTTCGAGGGGGAACGGTCGCGGGTTTATGAAACCTGCGCCAGTATTGCCGGATGAGGATGATGATGCTAGCGCGGAGGAGAGGGCTGATTTTGTGATCTTTGTATGTTTTGATTTACGTCTTCTGGCGCCCGGGGATTTTGACGGCGTAGCTGCTGCGGCTTCTGCGGTGTCTAGGTCTTGCTCTTGGGCTTGTGCTTGGGAGAGAACTTTTAGGCGTCTGCGATGGTGGGCACGCTTGTTGCGGGCGGAAAGAGAGGACGAGGAGAATTTCGAGAAGAAGATCGTGTCGAGCCGGGGCGGGATGTGGGCTGCCAGGAAAGCTGAGGTGAGGACTAAAGTTGGGAGGTAGGGGAGCGAGGGAAATGGAGATGATGAGAGGGGGACAGACGAAGCAACAGTTGTTGCGTTGTTTGCCAAAATAAGTGTTTCATTCGTAGTGATGCGATGGACCAGCACCTCTTCACCCTGGTGTTGGAATAAAGCCCTATTTCTAACAAGGAGTCGAGAAAAGTCCCACTGAGCACTGGGGTTCAATCCCGGAGGCTTTTCGTTGTTGGTTATTGGAGAAACAAACCGCGGCCAGAGTTTCTCGCACGCAGATTGGAAAATTGGAATGGTACTGGCGGTTGGTCCAATGAGAGAGTCATAGACAGTTGATATGAAAGGTGGATATATTCTCATTGCGGTATCTGTAGGTAATCCGGGTAATTTAGGTAGCTGGGAGGCCGCAAGTATCGAAATGGCCTCGTTCCGCGAATATGGGGGATGATAAATATGGGGAATTCCGGCAACTTGCAGCAAAAGTGGTCGTGGAGAAGATCTCATGACGAATACCACACATATTGATGGGACCTACAACGAGTGTGAGGAAAAATCATTCACGGCAAAAAAAAAAAAAGGTACACTGCTAACATACCAATTCAGCCAATCTCCCCAGAGCAGCAAAGAGCATCTGGCCCCCTTCCCTTAAACCATCCACACCATCCATAACTAGGACGAATTTTTCACACCCAGCGCTATCCAAAACGTCCCTGAGCACGCCCGGCAGCGAACTGATATGGTCACACCTAGCTCTGGCGCGGATACCTTCCGTAAAACGCCGCCGCGCATCCTCGTCCGGGAACGAAGCTGACGCACATGCGCCTGATATAACAACTGCCACAATTCTGCCCAGTAGATGTCGCACGGTTATACACTCCGCGCACTTCACGACGGCGTAAGGTAGTATAGCGCAGCGGCTTCCATCTCCATCTCCATTAACATCTAACTCTTCGCTGTCACTACTAGATCGCGTACCCACTGGCGGAAGTTCGTTATACGCAGTTAGCAATGCGTTTAGGATGCTTGACTTCCCCGAACCCCGGGGACCGTGGACTATGATGGCTGGCGGAGATGGAAGATCGGGCTATGAGATATACAAACAGAGCTAGTTAGCTGTTCAGTCTAGGACTAGGTGGCATTTTTATTTTGTTCGTAGACGGAGACTAACACTTAACAGGCACGCGAGTTGTCGGATTTGGAGCTCTCTCCATGGCCATTGGCGTGAGATAGTCACGGCCAGTTCTTCAGGCAGGCGAGGGAGCAAGACTCTCATGCTGGCTTGCGTTGCTAGGGCCTACCTTAGGTTGTCGTCGTAACTATGCAAAAATTAAAAGCTGCTTGCTAAGCGGCTGATTTGGGCTGTTCCGAATGAGTGAGCACTCCGCTCACAGTATCACTTTCAAAGGTAAGGAATGCTGGAATAGCATGCCATTACTTCTCTATAAACTGTGCACTATCCACAACCGCCTGCGTCGAAGCTCTCTTTAAGCGTGATCGTATGCGTACGCTCGTGAGGTTAGCTTGAATGGAAAGCTTTGACTTATCTCAGCACGCTCAGACCCTGTGCAGCATATTGCCTAAGTAATCCGGCATGACACTACCTAGGTAGTTAAACTACTTTTATCACCAAGTCATGTGCTCAGAGCAATTGTTGATGATTACTTGTACACAGGTATGTCCCGGTGTTTTCATTAGTGCTACTTTAATATTTTAGTGGCATTCTAACATTCATTCTGAGGGAATCCATGGCATTCTCAAGTTTGAGTGTGTTTTTCATTATAAAGCAGAATACATAGAATTAACATAGAATTATATTAATATTCAGTATAGCTATTATCTATCTATATAACAGTCTGATAGTAAGCTGATATCTTTATTATAAGTTCTTATAATTACTTCTCTATTATAGTATTTCAGATAGCTCTAATCACTTATTAAAGTATAGTATAAAAAAGATTCTTCTTATCTTTATAATTCTCTTATATTCACTACTTTATAAGATTTTATATAGATTTAATTAAGTTTAAATCTAATAAATATAATAGTTAATCTATAAAGATAATTTTATATTTTTAAAAATCTTAATTATTATTATTATTATTATTATTCTTTAATTATAGATATAGACTGATAATGTGATTATGTCTGAGATCAGAATCAGAATATTTAATAGTTTTATTATTAATTTAATTAATCTTATTACATAGTTTTAACATTAGATAGTAGTTTTATACTGTCTCAATGAAACTTACTGTCTACTTTTATTATATTTTTTAAATAAGATCATGATTTTCACTTCTTAATTTAAATTATTTTTATTGCTTTAAATGACTTTAAATCTCATTTAAGTGTTATCAAAAAGCATTACTTTTTAAAAAATTAAAAGTAGTCTAAAAAAAATCTTAAAATGTCTAAAAATAGTAACTTTATGTTAAGAATGAGATTAAATGAAATTAAATGAGATCACTTTCTTATTTTTTCAAAGTCATGATCTCATTTTAAGATCTGATATATAATTACTTTACATGTTTTTTTAATAATTAGTCTCAGTGAAATTCATACTAAGAAATGTATAAGATCAGATTAAATGAAATTAAATATGAAATTCATAATCTCAGCAGTTAGTCTATATAGATGTATATAGTTAGAGACTATAATATTTATCTGAGAACTTTTAGTTCTCAGAGTTTTTCTAATATCTATAGAGTTAACTATTATACATTTATCAATTTTAAATATGCAAAATCAGAAAATTGCAGCTCAGAATATAAAAACTGTTTATAAATTACAGTATTTTAACATCTTCTAATACTTTGAAATCATTTGAAAATATCATGATAAAAGAAAAGAGAATAAAGTTTTAAAGATAGACATATTAAATAAATAGATAGAAAATTTGAAAAAGCTGACTGAAAGACAGTTGAAGAAAGTATAAAACTGTTAAAATCTGAAAGACAGAGTGAGCTATATTGAAATCCTGGTCAAGATATCTCAAATGAAATGCTTAAGAATAGAGTGAAGCTCATTACATCTATTATTCTAGTAAGTGTTAAAGATAATATTTCAAAGAGAAAGTCTTTTGAGTATTCAAAACCTTGATAAAATGAGAATATTATATCTAAAAGAAAACAATTGACTACTGCTAGAAGAAATTGAAAGAATGATATAATTTCTGATAAAGAGTTTAAAGCTGTCAGAAATGAATATTTTTCAGATATTAAAAAAGCTAAAACAGACTACTGAAATAAATTTCTTGAAGAAGTATAAGAAAAAGAAGTTTTTAAAGCTTTTAACTATACTAAAACAAGAAGTGTAGCAAAACTTTCAACCTTAAAATATGAGTTTCAGAATGAATTATATACAGCAAACTCTGTTGAGAAAAAATATCAAGCTTTTATAAGAACTCTCTTTCAAAACTCATCAGATTCAGATTCAGAGAAAGAGAATATATCACTTCTTAACTATATTAATGAAAATGACTGAGAATGATCTGATCTTACTCAAGATAAATTAGAGTCAGCTATGTTCTCAAGTTCAGTTAAGATAGCTGCAGGGCCTGATTCAATTAATTACTTAATTATTCAAAATACATACTTCTACTTAAAGAATGAATATTTTGAGCTCTTTTTCAATCTCTTGAAAAATGAATATCATTCTGAATGCTGGAGAGAAGCTACTGAAGTGATTCTTATAAAATCTAATAGAAAAACTTCAATTTTCAAGTTATATAGAGTAATATCTCTATTGAACTGTCTAGAAAAGATTTTAGAAAAGATAATAGCTACTCAACTATCTTTTATAAGCTCTATCAGTAATTATGTTTTATTCAGTGAATAAATGAGAGATAGAAAACAGTGTTCTGTAATTAACACTATTCTCTCAGTTGTTCATAATATTCAAATAGCAAAGTATGAAGATCTGATCTCAACTGCAGTTTTTATTGATATAAATGAAGTATTTAATTATGTTTCAAAGTCAAAGTTAATTCAGATATTAAAGATGTTAAAACTGTCACTTTCTCTAATAAAATATGTTAACTGTTTTATATCTAAAAGAATTATACAACTTTTCTTTGATGAAATGAAATAAGACAAGACTGAGATAAAAATAGAAGTATTATAAGAATCTTCAATCTCACTCATTTTATTTACAATATACACTGCATATCTATTCAAAAATAGAAATATGAGAATAGTGTAATCTCTGAGTCATATGAATGATATTAATCTAGTCTACAGCTTAAAAACTATCAAAGAGAATTTAAAAGTGATTGAAGAAGCTGTAAAGAAAATCTTTATTAGAGCAGATATCAATTAAATTCAATTTAATATGAATAAAACTGAGTTAATTCATTTCTTTTCTAAATTCAATGAGAAAGAACTATCTCTAACTCTTTTAAATAGAGAGATTAAACTCAGTGTAAATATCAAATAATTAGAAGTATGATTAAACTTCAAGTTGAATTTTAAATATCATATTCAACAAAGAACTGTCAAGACAGAAAGACTATTAAATACAGAGAGAGATCTATTCTTCCAGACTATGAGACAGTTATATATAGTCTGTATTACATCAGTAGCTGATTATGAAGTTCAAGTTTGATGAAATAATCAAGAGAATTTCACTGAACTCTTTTAAAGTCTGTAAAACAGAGTCTTGAGAAGAATTCTGAGAGCATTCAAATCATCTTCTATTAAAGCAATGAAAATTGAAGCTTCAATTTCTTCTTCTACTATTAGATTTGAAAAGATCTGTATAAACTATGCTCTGAGAGTTATAAAGATAAGCTTAAATTATATAATCAGAGAAAGAGTCTCTTCTTCATTTTCATCAATTAACTCTGAAAATGAACTGAATTGAAATAGATTTCTTAATTGAAATGAAAATAATTCTTCAAAGAAAATGTCTTCTCAACTGTACAGATCATATTCTCTAATTAAAAATCAATTTTCTTCTTTAAATGTTGAAAAAGTTAATTATGAGAAGTTATCTCTCTGAAGAGAAAAGCTTGAATCTCTTATAGACTTACAAATAAGTGAACTATCTAAAGAGAAAGAATATGAACAGTATTTGAAGAGAACTTCTACAATTAATATAAAAGACTCTATTCTAATTTATTCAGATAACTCAAAAAATGAGAATTTCAATAGATTAGATACAGACATTGCTTATACTAAAGATAATATTAATTTTATCTCAGATTTCTGAAATCTAGACTGTGAATCTGAAGTCTTTGATACTGAACTATTTATAACAGTGAAAGTGTAAGAGGTCTATGCTGAATAGATCAGTATAATATTGATAGATCTTATATAACAAAGATAAAAACACTAAAGAAGAAAAGAAAGAGAAAGTACAAGAATCAGTGATCAAGATAAATATTTATATGTGTATGTGATGATGTACGCAGTGGAGCTTCAGAGTGGAAGAATATACACACATTTATAGTGACTGAGAATCAGTGATTGAGAATGACTGAGAATTGAAGTGTACACTGAATCTGTGAAGTGTAATGAAATAGTCTATATAATTGATCAGGGTGGCGGCTGAGAATCAGTGATTGAGAATGACCGAGAATCAGAGTATATGTGAAATCTGTGAAGTGTAACAGAATAGTCTATATGATTGATCAGATGCAGCTCATCACATCAACTCTCTCTTTTCAGAAGCAGTTCTCATTGATTAAGAGCTACTGTTTTGAATAATGCAGAACTCAGAGTTCAGGTCAGTTGATTATAGCTGACTCATTTCATAAGATATTATCAGTGATCTGAATCGGACTGTGAGAGTTCAGTGTGAAGTATTTGATGAGAGAATACACTGAAGATTATATTGTCTTACAACTGAAGATTTTATCATTGTATAGTAGTATAGACTGCTGTCTATTATGACTTTCATTATTATCAATCACAGTAGATACAAGAATTGCATTCATTGTTATTTTCTCTTCAAATTATTATTGTTCAACCTCTTCAAGCTTCTGTTTACAAATTTGAAAAGAAGTTAATCTTTTCTCTGTTTCATCTGAGCATTCTCATAGTTATCTTCTGAATCTTTCTTCACTGCAATGTGATTGACGCGGACAGACACTGATTCATTCTTTAATCTTTCTCTTAAATAAGAAGATACTGATCTTTCTCTCAATTAAAAAGATACTGATCTTTCTCTTGAGTGTGAAGACACATAGATTAATTAGTAGTTGAAAGTAATATGTTCTGATTAGTTACAGTTAATGCATACTTCTTATTAATATCAATCAGTGACTTCTTCAGAAGTGATCTCAGAGACTTAAAAGTCTGTTCAAACAGTAGAAACTCTTTCTTATGCATAGATATTTAAATCTATTCAGTTCATGACATCAGCATCATTATTCTTCAATGTAGATGTATAAGTGACTGAGTTATTTATCAGGCCAGGTGTATAAGTGGCTGAGTTATTCATCAATACATGTGTGTGAATGTAATATCTTCTGTCACTATTCTGTATACTCTTGAGCTTGATAAGATGATCATTCAATATCTGAAGCTGTGTGCAGAAATCTTCATAAGTTAAGTCTTCATTTATACTTATAAGAGTCTGTAAGAGTTTGAAAGTTAATACCTTCTTAAGCATGCTAATCTTCATTTAATTCTTTCA